ACTAGCATATTGCAAATTAGTAAATTTACTAAGAAACTTGTATACTAATATGAAGCGGCGCTCCGGAACCCAACGGAACCCGTTTTCCTAGTATAATATAATATATGAAAACATAATAAGAAAATCTAATATTTGTCCTTATATATATTGTTTACTGTGTTGGTTTTTCAAATGCTCTGTATTATGAAAAACCAATCAAAATCCGTAATTCGCGCGCGCATGCAGATATCATAATTCCAAAAGGTGTCACATGGCATTGGTTTTATTATTTATTGAAAATCTTGAAAATCTTAACGTTAATGCGTAACATTGATGTAAATCGGTATTAGCCTTTTTCGGTATGCTATTTTTTTAAATACGTAGTTATCGTTATGTATTAATTACTTAATTTAGTCATTGCGTATTAACTAACAACGCCACTACCTACGGACAGCTTGCGGTGATTGATGGATAGGCATTGTTTTATCAGTAACCACATCGAGTCATATGGTAACGTTTCATTATATTATGCACATTAATGCGTTCTATCCTCGTAACTAACGGCTCACCACGAAATTACATCCAATAATCACGTTCTAAATTAAATCTCAATTCTTATAGCAAAATTTCACTTGCAGCTTCATAAAAATCCTAAGTGTGATTTTATTTTCTTCAGCCTATAAACATAAGTTTTATAATAGGTTTAGTAAGATCTTAAAAGAAATTTAAGCATACCTGTTTTAAATATATATGTAAGCTACATTTAATAGGTTAGAACATTATTGACCATATATTATGACAAACGAAGACGCGAAATATCAGAAACAATAAATTTTGGTAAATTGGCTTTTTTTATTTAGAGAAGCACCACTTGTGTATTTTTCTGATCTTTTATTTATAATGCCCATAAAGATTACTTTTAACTAATAAGGACTTTTCATAATCGTAAATTATTAAAATCATGTTAAATACAATTATAGCATTTTTCGTTACGCAATTATGCAATATGCATTTGCCAAACGTTACTTTTACTATAAGTTGCCTTTTTTATGCTTCAATCAACCCAATAAGCCAATAAGGAAATGAGTAGATCGCAACACAAACGCGCGAAAAAAAAAACAAGCAAATATCAGAAATTTTATTTTTCAGAATTTATTTTATTTTCTTTTTTTAACAATCTAAGTAAAAAAAAGAAAAAATGGAACATATAACCATTATTGTTATTTATATATTACAGTTTTTATAAAGATATAACCTTAATATAGTTGATTCGTTGATTTTGTAAAAAAAATGTGGTGAGAAAATTCTAGTTTTTTAAAAGTAGCAAAGATGAAAGAATTCCATTTATTGAATATTTATGGTGGCACTAATTCTTAAAGATGAAACGACAATATATTTTTACTTTAAACCTCAATTTAAGTAATATTTTCTCCGAATATTTGTAGTCTAATTAATGTAATCGCAAATGTATGAAACACAAAAGGCTAAATTATTGCATTAGATCTAATGATTGTGTGATATTTTAGATTACTTTCTTGATTACTAATGTCATATATATTAAAATCCGAGTGCGTGTTTAACGTACCCAGTATTTTGTGCTTCCAAACAAAACTAACAAAATTAAAATATAAAACACCAATTCCCCATTTCCTTTTTTTTCAGTTTCTTAAAAAAAATTATATGAAAAAAATGAGTGAACACGTATCTTTCGGGCACCAATGGTACAACAAACTTTGTTCCAAAGATAAACAATATCCTTGCCCTGAAGAATATCAGATTATCATTCAATTTGACAGGGATATGTTATTTTATTCTCCAAAGTACACCGGAGAATTTCTGTTTCGGAAACTTTATGATGATTCAAAAAAACCATCAAGACCATCAAGACCGCCAAATGCTTTTTTTATTTTTAGAACCGTACTTGGTTTGGTGGCGAAAGATATGCGTATTTCTGTAGGTGATGGGATAACATTTAGCCGATTAGCCGGCTTTATGTGGGGCGGTACTAATGACGAAGAAAGAAATATATATCATTCATTATCTGATGAAATTAAAAAATTACATGATAGCAAATATCCTAATTACAAATACAAGCCTGAACGCGGCATTTCGGTCCGATACAACTTTTCAAATAAAACTGCTAAAGATTATGAACAAGTACAAATTCAAACACACGATTCTTGGATTAATCTCAACTTTTTACAGCAATTAAACTCCAACATTCCGTCTATTGCAGTAAACTGCCCTCAAGTGGTTGAATATGATCCAAACATGTCTCAATCCGTTCGCCCACCTGAATATCCGATTATCATCAGAGATCCATCCTCTCCTTCTTTACACATGCTAGAAGGTGTTCATAATATCATGACCTGTAAGGGGCTCTTTAAAATTTAAGCTTTCTTTACCTTTTTTTCGTCCACAATTATGTTTATCCAAGCATCTAGTTATCCATTTTTGTCACGTTTTCACAGATTATAGTGTCACAAACAATTGTATAACTATAAGGAATGACACATTACCAATTTTATTTTATCATTCAAGTTTTTATTTCAAAATTACGCGTTAATAATTCACCTTATGTCTTCCTTTTTTTTTTTATCGATAATCAAGTTAAATTATTAACTTTATAACAAAAACGATAAGCAAATATGATTAAATAATAAGGAATATTTATAAGAATTAATTTTTCATTAACGGCGCATATTTTTTTTTAGAAGCATTTGAGCATTGTTTATATTGATGTATCAATCTAATGATTCTTCAAAATTTATTAATCAATAGTATTACGAATATGGGTTGGGCAAACAAGCATAAGGCATTATAAATTATCTTATTTTGCTTTTGCAAGTAACATTTTATTCAATAACCTATTATAAGTTTATAAACATTAAATAAAAAATAATCACTTGTGAACCAAAGTTTGAAAATTATTATTAGCTAATACAAGCGGTTTAATATAAATTTTTATCTTAATTTATTACTATTATAAAAATTTGTAAACAATTATCTACAATAACGGGTACAAATAATTTGTAATATATATATTTATCCCATGGGTACTATTGTAACAACCCGTGTTTTTCGACAAGGCTATTTCAACTGGTCTATATGAAAATCACATGATTTTCAATTGAAATAATCTTGTAATAAGTATTTTATAAGCCCAATTTATTTTAAAATTGTAATATATGCAATGCTTTATTTATTTCAATCCAAATAAAATATATATATATATATATTCTTAAAAATGATAATGGAAGTGGCAGTGACGCCCACCCTACTATCATTAAAAATCCTAATATCTTCATAAGTTACAAGAATAATGCGATTAGAAATATTACCTAAATGTGATCTTGGTTCTGCAGAAAGTCACGGTGATGAATGTCTAGGAATATGTGAAACTTTAGGCTGCCCAAAAGTTTATAGCATCTGGAGAACTTGGGTAATTTGTAGCATCTGGGAAACTTCTGAAGATTCAATGCTTTATTTTTTAAAAGGTGGTTTGAATGGTGCATACAATTTTGATGTATGTGATGATCTTGTCACTTTTCTCGACAATTACCTTGGTGATTGTCTTGATGATAGTTTTGACAATAATTTTAGTGGTGCTTCTGGTGGTGGTGATTCTAATAGTACTTTTGGTAGTGCTTTTGATAGTGCTTTTGGTGATGCTTCTAATAGTGGTTCCAGTGATGCTTCTGGTGATATCTCTTCTAATTAATGATATAAAAATAGTAATTCAAAAAATATTTTAATAAAATATATATGAATAAAATAATCAAGTAATAAAAGTGATTTACAAATAAATACCTTCATCATGTTTGTCTTCAAAATCTAAATAATTTTTGGCATTCTTTAAAAAATAGGGATGTTCTATAGAATAGGTGGGCAAACTCCGCAAACTCTGCAACTCCGCTAAATATCTATTAATGATTACTAATCATTAGCAGAGTTTATTTTTATATTGTCCACCTATTCTATAGAACATCCAAAAATGGTTAAATTCTTTATATACAGTAGAATATTATTGAAATCAAAAGGATTAGCATCAACATAATCCTAAGTTTTTAACTATTATTTGCACTATTATCTAGATTTTTTTTTAACTATAGTGTCCAAAAAATTCAAGCGAAATAGTCATGGTGCAAAAAATTAACAGTCTCATAACTAATTCAGCAACCTAATTCTGAAATTTTGTCTAATATTATAACATTAATATTTGCATTAATAAAATTATCAAAATTTTCTTGCCAAAACTTTACTTGACAACAGAAAACTAATTTCCATAACAAATTCGAGTCTTTTTGTGGTTTCTTTAAATTTTTTTTTTACTTTTGAATTTATATGTTACAAATTGATCTTACAATTGGATTGAATTAAAATCACATGACCGCTAAATTTTTGCACCATGACTATTTTACTCAAAAATTCTATATATTTATTCTCTAGAACTTCAAAATCTTTCAATCTTTTTAAGTTGCTATATATTAAAGTAAATAGTTACTGATCTCATTAATTTATTTACACCTATTTGGGTTTAATAAACTAATTCTTTATTTGGTTCTATATCAAAATCCTGAAATCAAAATCCTGAAATTTAATTGTTATGTTGTATAATAGGGATTTAGTATTCAAACCTTTCTTATAATTAGTAATAATAATTACTAATCATAAACAGGGTTTGAATACTAGAACCCAACATCAACAATGTAGCAATTAAATTTCAGGATTTTGACTTTTTGGATTTTGATATAATTTTTTTTTTTTTTTCTTTGACAACCTTGTACTAATTTATTAGAAACTTTTAACTTTTGTTTATACAATAAACTATTAAACTATCTAATTACATATTAGGCAAATACCTGACTGCTATTCAAGTACCCAAGTACAGTTATTGCACTAATATTTGTTAACTGATATTATATATAAAGCTAACCACATTTAAAGATCTGCTATAGCATAGTACTCAGCTATCTAAATTTTCTTAAAAAATTCCACCTTACTTAGCCCACCATCTTGGTGAAAAAGAATTTGAAATTTGAGCCAAAATTGTTTCCTTTGCTAAATTAAAGATCTTGACTATTTTTTCTCTTAACTCTCCTAAACATGACCTATCTTTTTTCTTTAATATTACTATCTTGGGTTCTTCAAATCTTTTATACCTCTTGTTTGGTTGGTCCTCTCTTAGTCAGTACTCTGTTAATGAGTCTTCTAATGATACATTTCTTGATGGTATGTTTTTTACTCTTAGGTCTTTTATGTCTATAGGTTGTTTTCCTTTTCTAATAGTAATGTTCGTGTTATATGCTTTTTCTCTCGACTTTTCACCTCTTGCTTGAAAAATTCTTTAAAGATCAGTTCTCTGCTAGTATAATGACTGCTGCTATATTTCTTGCTACCAGGTCTTCTGCAAGTATGTTCTCTGTATTTCTGGATTATTTTTTTTCTTTTGATACTAGTACTTATATTGTTAGCTTTTTCTTAGCCTATAAATTTTTTGTACTGCTCTTTCTATATTACTCTGTAAAAACATTCTTGTATAATATAGATTAAAGCTTCATAATATTGTTGACTTGAGCAAGTCTTTTTGTTCATATTTTGAAGTTTTGCATAATCTGTTTGACAAAATAAACTCTGTATAAACCTTTTTCTTTTCTTAAGTTTTGCTACCCTTATACTGCCATATACTATATTTTTGACTTCTTTTAAAGTATATTCAAATCTTGTCTCTTTTTCAAGCATGGCCTATGCTGTTGCTAACACTCTACCTTCTATCTCTATCCAGATATTTTCATAAACTTTGTAGCTAAAGAGGTGATCTAAATTCTCTATTTTGTTTTTTTTGCATATCACACAGTTGGCTAATGTATAAACTTGTAGCTTGCATTGGTGTAACTTGTCTAGTACTGGTAATACCCTGAATAGACTCTTTACTACTTATAAGTGAAGTACATTTTTAGCCTCTAAGTTCTATTAGTCTTTTCCAGCAAAAGACCCAAGATGGATTACAATTTTGTTCTAATTATCATAAAGGGTCACAGCTTTTTGATAAAACCTATTCACTTTTTACTAATTTTCTTTTATCTTGTATATAAACTTGCACAATAAGTATTTGATACCTCTGTCTTGCTATATTATATCAAAACTTCACTATGAGTATATATTGTTTGGCTATTTCTATGTCTCATTGAGGAATGCTCTCTATCTGCTTCTTCATTTCACTTTATACTTATATATGCCTTAACTTTTATTAACTCAAAATCAAGCAAGTACTTTAAACTAGATTATCTCTATAATTTTATTAACAATTGTTTTGCTCTTTCTTTTAAGACCTTTACTAAACTCTTTTTTCTTCAGTACATGCTTTATTGCCATAACTGCTGCTACACTATCTGTCTTTATCTGTACCTGTGTACTTGTAATTGCTGTCAGTATAGCACAGAAAATTGCTATTAGCTCTGGTCTAGTTGATGATAGCTAATTGCTTATTCTACTTTGCTTTAAGTACTATCTTTTTTTTATCTTCTAAGATCTGGACCTAGCCGGCTTCCTTTCTATTTTCTTCAAATATGTTGTATTTATTTGGAAACTATAGTGTTTGGATCTATTGATATCCAACTATTTTTTAGCCCAATCTGCTGGATTTTTACACCCGATCATAAACTATCCAATAAAATCTGTTGAATTTGGTAAATAAATCGGTTGATATTTAGTATAGATGGGAATATATAAATATTATAAGATCATTTAATATAAAAATAATTATTTGAACTAATCTGAACAGATTTGAGAATAGTTAGAGTTAGGGTAAGAGTCATAGTATAGTTTATAGTTAGCTTTGAGTTAGGGTTAGAGTTTTTTTATATTAAATAATCTTATAATATTTATATATTCCCATCTATACTAAATAAGATCCAATAAATCTATTGTTATTTTTTTTTTAATGAATGTTTACAAAAAATATATATATATGCAAGTCATCCTCATAATGGCGAACTATATAGTGAAGAACAGTTATTGTGAATCAGACTCAAACCAATTTATATGAAATTTTCTAATATAGTGAATTTACTAATAAAACTTTCAATATAGTAGATTTTCAAATAGAATTGATTATTTCTTTACGAGTGTGATATATAATTTACAAATATATACATTGACGAAATATTAAAATATTTATACAAAGAATTCTTTATTTAATAAATTGCTAATTCAATTATATAAGTCACTTTTCCTACACTAAAAGCTCATTATTTTGTTTCTTCTGTTTTTGTAGTTACAATTTATTTATATACAGGAGTTTTACCAAATAGCAATAATGAAGTAGAAATTTAATAATTAACATTACATCACTGTTTTTATCAAAATGTTTTATTACTGTTACGAATAAGCAATTACCCCTGACACTAATTGCAGATAATCCAGTGGATATTCAAAAAAATATCCACAGATTAAAATAGTCAAATATCCATCGAATCATCTAACGGATTTGTTCAACAGATCCAAACACTAGGAAACTATAAACTATTAGTATAAAAAACACAGCTTTTCCTTTTATACTTAAGATTATTTTTAAGCCAATGAGATAGTATAGCTTTAATATAAAGTTTTTTATATTCTCCAAGTTCATGTTTCTATTTCTTTTATCTTTACAAGCAGCTGTTCTATTATCTCTTTTTCTTTAATAAAAGGATTATAGATTTCTAGTAGCAGTCTAAAGTGTATCCTATCTGCATCTTTGGTTATATAATTTACCTATCTAAGATATAATTTTGCTTAATATTAAACTTACAACTATTTTCTTTGTCTATATTGTTAAGCTTATAATGACTACATCATTTTGTTAAGACATCTTTTTTGGATAGGCTCAACTCTATCTAGTGTTTGGCTTGTACTCTATTCAACTTCTTTTCCTGCACATGGCTGAAAGCTAGTTAATCTGTTTCTTTCATATAAATACAAAAGCCACTCTTTTTTCCTTTTGTCTTCACTAATCTCAGGCAAACTAGAAAGTAAAGTCTCTTCATTTATATTTTGTAGCTAAAAGTAGCTTTTAACTTTGTGTTTTTTACTTTTTTCTAATATTGCTTCTTTTATAAATTTATATAACTGTGGAGTCTTGCCACTACAGTTGCAGTTTTTTATTGCTTTTATTTGTTGCTATATTAATAGATTTTTTCTCTCAAGTCTAGTAGCTAATTAATATAGTAGAAATCTAAGTTTGTTTATGATTTTCTACTCTTTGTTTGCATTTGTAGATTAAGCATACTTGCAATTGTCAATTCCGAACCTATGATTTGCCAACCTTTTTTGTCTATTATAAAGACTATATCTACTTTTTTATATTGTTCTACTATACTTAGTGCAATGTTGCCTCTATAAATCAATTTTTCTATATTAGCTAGCTCTTTTCATACATTTTGTATTATACCTATCATTAATTTTCCCTGTTTAATCCTTATTTTGCTTATATCTGTACTGTTTAGTCTTTTAATTAATGCTGTGGTCTGTTTCACTAGTACTGAATATGCGAGCATCTTAATTTCTAATGTACTTTTATGCATTAAAAACTATTTAGAACTGTTTGTACTATTCCAAGCTTTTTTTTTATCAGTTATAGAAAGAATTGATTGTATTTAACTCATTTTCAATTATACAGGTTGAAATCAAAAATATTTTCTCTGTATCTTCAAATAATTAGCCTAGGTAATAGCAGGCCAATATTGTAATGGCTATAAACCAATATGGTAGAGTATTAAAATAAGCTAATATGCTAAAAATTATTAGAAAATATGATATATATATGGAAATTAATATTCAAATATTGTTAAGATGATCTGTTTATCATATAAAAGATATAAAGCCAATATAAACAAGATTTTTTAATGATAATTTGATGATTAGATAAATCATTAGCTGATATAGTGAAGGTTAATTTGTAAAAAAATTTATCCATTTTATACAATATTGTACTGATATAAAGGATAAATATGCATAAATTTGAAATATTATTAACAAATTAAAATATTGGTTTAAACAATATAATAATGTTGTTTAATGATTAATTAGCTAATATGATAATTTTATTCAGCGATTACACTAATCATAAGATGATATTGTAACAGCTATTAAATAAAAATCCTTTATACAACTCTTTCCAACGATCACTTAAACCAAAAATTTTCACTAACAGAAAAACAAAATTTTTGTTGGAGAGTCGTGGACAGCATAGTGGTTTGTCTAAAGGTCAATGTTTACTCTGTGGGACTCCTCTAAAAGACGTTTGGCATGCAAGCCAGGAGCATTACTATACAAGTTAACTGGCAAGATAACAATAAACCTGGAGGTGGCGCCCTTGTATATAAAATCTTGGTGGAGTGTGGGCAAAGCTCAACTTCGTCAATGAAGCTACTTGACTATTAACAAAAAACACAAGAGATACAACAAAACTTTAGTTTTTCAAGCTGCACTCTTTTACTTGGTTTAGTGGTTCTTCTCTTTATTTATTTTTGCCTCTCTATCAGTCTTCTAAATTTTTTCA